GGGAGCGGTAAGGAAGACACACCCCTCCGGGAGAGGAAGGGAGAACTTCCCAGCTCTCGAGGGCGAGCCACACATTTGCCCAAACTCTCCCCTCCCGGAGCGGTCCCATCCCCAACCGCCCCCCACCCTAACCCGGGACGCGCACCGGGCGGCGGGAAGGGGCCCTGGGAGGGGCGAGGGCCGGGCGCTCGGAGTCCCGGGAGGCGAGGCTGAAATTCCAGCATGGCGCACGCGTGGCCCATCCGGCCCAGGGACGCGCCGGAGACGCGCTCCCTCCGTCCACCGGCCCCGGAGGCGGTCATCCGCCTTCCCTCCCGGGGGCCCGCAGGCCCGGCTAAAAATAGGCGCCTCCGTCACCCCAGGGCCCTCTCCCGCCGACCTCGCCCTCGAGAGATGTCCTCGGGGGAGACCCGGGTCGCGCTCGGAGGCGCCGCGGCAGAGCCCGGGTCGGGCCGTGAGCGGGCGGCCCGTGAGGCCGAGCAGCCCGGGGAGCCCGCCGCCGCCAAGGCCCGGCCCGAGCTAGAGTCCGGCGGCCGGACCCGGCGCCCGAGGCCTACCCGGCGGACGGCGGGCCGTGTTCGGGCCCCGCGGCCGCGCCCCCCAACCGGTGCGGCCCTCCCGCCCGGAGCCCCGGAGCCGGCGCCGGCGCCGCCCCCACCCCGCGGTCACGCGGCCGGCGCCCCGAACCCGACGCCGCTGGATCGTCGTTACCCTGCGCGGTGAGGGGAGGAGACCTGCTCAGACACGGCGGCGCCCGCACGACAGTCCGACCGCCAGCTCCGAGGTGCCTCCACCGCATTTCTCAGGATCCGACACGCCGCCGGCACTGGGTGGGGGCGCCCCCTGCAACGTCCGTGCCGTCTGGGCCGGCGGTGCCCGGAGACCGGCCCCTTAAAGGGACAGGCGCCCGCCCGCCTCGGCCCCCCGCGCGCGCTGAGAAGCCCCCGCGTGGGGCTGCTCGGGATTCCGGGGCGGTCCCCCGAGATAACGTTCCGCAGCTGGTGGGGGTGGGAGCTCGGGGCTGGAGGCTCGGCGGCACTTCCTTCATTCCTTAGCCCTGCCCCCCCTCTCTCCCTCCCTCCTTCCCCCTCCCCCTCTTCTCTGTCTTTCTCTCTCTCTCTCTCTCTCTCTCTCCTTCCCCCAAAGCTGGTTTCATCTTACGGGGACCTCCACACTCGGTGACTTTTTATTTTTTTTGTAACCTTAAGCAAATGGTACTCGATTTCACCCTGCCCAGCCCAGATTCCTCTCCAGAAATCAAAACGAAACCTTTCGCTCCTACGTCTTTCTCTTTGAATTAGCCTTCAGGCAACCCTGGCTTCAAACGAAGAGAAAAATTAAAAACCGACCCAAATTGTGTGCAAATACTATGAAGCTGCTGGCTGGCGGGCTCTCTTTAAGCCGGAGTAAATAACTAGAAGCTGCAGCGAAGAGGAAAAGTTGGCCCGAGTGCCTGCTAATAAGTTTGCTCTTTGCTGAAAGGAGGGCAGCGACGTTCCTGGTCCGCTGGCAAATAAGATGTGTTCCTCGTCATCACCTATGGCTTACCGATCTCTCGCAGAATTCCAGGCACCGCCCAGAACATAAACAAAATACTGCAAGGTCTCCTCAAAAGTTATGAGAGCTCGAAATGATTCCAATTCTGTGAGAGTGTGAATAAGATACACAAAACCAAGACTCCTCACGAACACCTCCCCTTGCATCCTGACAAAGAGGGAACAGGAGCAAGTCCTTCGGGGATGAACAGCAGAGCCATTTCTACACCAACAGAGAATTTCCTGTATGGGGGCTGGCTAAAAACGTACATTTGTATTCTCATGTTGTCTTAGCTTTCTAGCGCACCTCCAAAGTACAGATGAAAACTGAACAGTTTGTGGTAGCCTGAGATGTTGAGAATTCCCAAAGTCTTCAGCCACTAGGTTCTCCAAACATGCATTCGGTCTTATTTTAACTCCAAAAGCGTCCTCTTTTTTCCTTTCTCAGTAGGGTTACTCAGCACCTCAGTGGTTCCAATACCCTCAAAGCAATTGATCTCTAAACCACTGCTGTCTTCTGAGCCTGTGCCAGAGGACACAGCTTTATGGAAGAGCGATGCCATTAGTCTCTTAATACAAAAAGGGCAATGTATCATTTCTATAGTGGAGTTTAAGGACTCTTGATTAGCTTACAAACATCTAATTTCCTCTGGTTAGTACTAAAGCAGGCTTTAGGTTAGAATAAAACTTTCTATCATTTTCCTGACTTCAGTAAAACAGTGATATTTTAGAGACAGTAATATGTAGGTACATTAAGTAGAGTTTAGGGACATGTTTACCCTAAATATACTATTTCTTAGAGTCAAGGATCACTTATTTTTCTGTTCCATTATTTGAAACAAAGAAGAGTATTTATCAGCTATTTCAACTTTCCTGAGGGATTGAACTTTGACGTTTGAAAGGGAAGTGATCTATTTATTCACATCAAAAAAGATTTGTTAGATGCCCTAACCGGTTTGGCTCAGTAGATAGAGCGTCGGCCTGCAGACTCAAGGGTCCCAGGTTCGATTCCGGTCAAGGGCATGTACCTTGGTTGCAGGCACATCCCCAGTAGGGAGTGTGCAGGAGGCAACTGATCGATGTTTCTCTCTCATCAATGTTTCTAACTCTCTATCCCTCTCCCTTCCTCTCTGTAAAAAATCAATAAAATATATTTTAAAAATAAATAAATAAATAAAAGATTTGCTAGAATTATCATGCAAGGTAAGCCCTATTAGGAATTAAGACCTACCCTTTAAGTTTTGAAGTATAGTATAATATCAATGGCTATAATTAACATATATAATTAACCTATTATATAATTAACCTTGGTTGCTGCTCACTACTCTCCAATGTTACTGAAACCAGCAACTAACTTGCTAAAAAGGATTAGCACTCCCAGCATCTGAGGTACCTCTAGTTGTAACAACGAAGAAATAAAATTTTTTGAAACTATCAAGTGTAATTCTATTACCTAAAGAGTGCTAGTGTCTCTCTCTCTCTCTCTGTCTGCCTCTCTCCCTCCCCTCTCCTCTCTCTTTTCTCTTTTATTCAAGTCCTCTTACTTTTTAAGCCCCTCCTACCCCCACCATGGCCCTCACCTTTGGCAACCATCAGCTTGTTCTCTATACCTATAGGTCTGTTTCTATTTTGTTTTATTTATTCATTTGTTTTGCTTTTTTAGAGTCCACATATGAGTGAAATCACAATATTTGTCTCTGTGTCTGACTTACTTCACTTAGCATAATACTCTCTAGGTCCATCCATATTGTCGAAAATGGCAAGATTTCATTCTTTTTTATTCTTGAATAATATTCCACTGGGTATATATAGTATATCTTTATCCATTCATCTGTTGATGGACATCTAGTAATGGTGCAATGAACATAGGGGTACATATATATTTTCAATTAGTGGTTTTGTTTTCTTTGAATAAATATCAGAAGTGAAATTGCTAGATTATATGGCAGCTCTATTTTTAATTTTTTGAGGAATATTCATACTGTTTTCCATAGTGGCTGCACCAGCTTACTATCTCACCAACAGTGTATGAGGGTTCTCTTTTCTCCACAGCCTCACCAACACTTACTATTAGTTGATTTATTGTGGATGGCCATTCTGATGGATGTGAGGTGATATCTCAGTGTAGTTTTAATTTGCATTTCCTTGATGATTAGTGATGGTGAACATCTTTTTATATATCTATGGGCCATCTGTATGTCCTCTTTGGAGAAATGGCTATTCGGGTCCTCTGCCCATTTTTTATTAGATTGTTTGTTTTTCAGCATTAAGTTGTATGAATTTCTTATATATTTTGGGTATTAAGCCCTTACTGGATGTATCATTGGTGAATATCTTCTCTCATTTGGTAAGCTGTCCTTTGGTTTTGTTGATGGTTTCCTTCTCTGTGCAAAATTTTTTAGTTTGATGTAGTCCCTTTATTTTTTCTTTTGCTGGCCTGAGGAGACATATCCAAAAATATATTGCTTAGAGCAATGTCAAAGAGTTTTACTGCCTCCCGGGTGATGTGGTTCAGTGGTTGAGCATCGACCTATAGAATAGGATGTCACAGTTCAATTTCTGGTCAGGGCACATGCCCCATTATGAGCTCCACCCCCAGTGGGGGCCGTCCAGAAGGCAGCCAATCAATGATTCTCTCTCATCATCGGTGTTTCTATCTCTTTCTCCCTCTCTCCTCCTCTCTGAAATCAATAAAAACATATTTTTAATTAAATTAAATATGTATCCTGCAGTTTTTGCATAAAATGTTCTCTAAATGTCAATTAAATCAATCTGGTCTGATGTGACAATTAAGGCCATTATTTTCTTATCAATTTTCTGTCTAGATGATCTATTGGTTGATGTGAGTGGGATATTAAAACCTTCTACAATTATTATATACTGTGGATTTCTTCCTTTATGTCCATTAATAATTAAACCTCTTAGGCCACTGCCATCTTGGACCTCCTCTTTCTCTTTTTTTTTAATCTACAAAAGTGCAATTTACTGGAGATTGCCTTCTGACTTTTAGCGTTTAACAATCCTCTTTTCCCTGAATTTTGGAAATGTTTTAAAGACACACAGTACACATCTCTCTAGCAGATAGAAAGCTGGCTATTCCTGTTTTCTTCAGGGAAGACTTCCCAGAAGTGGTGAGTAATGTGTGAGTAACATATTATATCTCCTGCACCACCAGGAGGGCAGAGATGAAAGTATAATAGAAACAACTAACGATCTGAAAGCAAAGGGAAGATTCCAGGTCCCCCAGATAATGGAGGGGGAAAGAAATATCCGCAGTTGCAGATCGAACAATAAATCAGCTATTCTAACAATAACTGCTTATTAGAGGTCTGCATTGTGTCCCCATTAACATGTAGTCTCTTTAAGCATATGACATTCAAGTGCTTTCATCACAGCCTAAGGGTGACGACAAATTATTTGCCATACTTTGCACAAAGTGGTGGGATCTGTGTTTCCTCCTCTTGAATCTGGGCGGGCTCTGTGGCTGCTATGTCCAATAGAGTATGCCAAAAGTAACACTACCAAGTTTTGGGCCCAGGCTTGGAACCGTTGATCTTAGAGCCCTGAGCTACCATTTGAGAAGTCTAACTACCTTACTGGAGAGACCATATGGAGAGGCCCTGAGATTACTACATGGGGAGGACGAGAGACCCAGCTGGGCCAGCCTTCCAGCAGCCCTCACCAAGGTGCCCAATGTATGAACGAAGTACCCCAGTCCATACACACCACAAGCTAAATACCACCAAGTAACCCCAGTCAGTACCACCCAGAGCAGGAAAATCACTCAGTGAAATACGCTTGAATTTATGACCCCATATAATCTTTGTGGGTTTTGGGGGTGGGGGAGATAAATTGTTTGCAGTTAAAAATAAGCAGAACATCTTTCTTCCACTTCTAAATAGCTGCAAGAAACATTAGTCTCGTTTCTGTGGAGAGGAGTTTCCATTTTGCCCATACAATCCCAAAACATCATTGGGGCCTTTCAAGGGAAATCTGGGCAGGAACGGGTAAGGAGGTAAAGCTAGTTTGTGGCATAACTTAATATTATTGAAACCTCTCCATGTCTCCCATCTTCAAAGGCTGTTCAATGATTGAAAACTGGTGAATTTAATGAGGAAAGAGGAGCCAACATTTATAGTGCAGTTGCGCTGTGTGGGTGTTGAATGTGCATTAGCTTACATAAT